CATTAATGGCCGGGGAGAGTGGGGGCAGGGGGGATTGCAATGATCAAGCCTGGCTCTGCAGGTTTGCAATCAAATTGTAAGCATTCAGAAGCTGCAAATAAAATTACACCAATCCAGAAGCTGCATCCAGAAGCTGCAAATAAAATTATAACGATCCAGAAGCTGCAAATAAAAATTCTAAGCATCCAGAAGCTGTAGATAAAATTATAACAATCCAGAAGATGCAAATAGAATTATGAGTACAGAACCTTCAAATAAAATTGTAAGCGTCCAGAAGCTGCAAATAAAATTATAACGATCCAGAAGCTGTAAATAGAATTATAACAATCCAGAAGATGCAAATAGAATTATAAGAGTCCAGAAGCTTCAAATAAAATTGTAAGCGTCCAGAAGCTGCAAATAAAATTATAACGATCCAGAAGCTGTAGATAAAATTATGACAATCCAGAAGCTGTAAATAAAATTGTAGCAATCCAGAAGCTGCAAATAAAAATTATAACAATCCAGAAGCTGCAAATAAAATTATGATTCAGAAGCTATAAATAAAATTATAAGCATCCATAAGCTGCAAATAAAATTATAACGATCCAGAAGCTGCAAATAAAAATTCTAAGCATCCAGAAGCTGTAGATAAAACTATAACAATCCAGAAGCTGCAAATAGAATTTATGAGCCCGGAAGCTGCAAATAAAATTTATAAGAGACCCAGAAGCTGCAAATAAAAATTCCAAGAATCCGGAAGCGGCAAATAATGTATAACAATGTAATGTATATGCAAATGTATATAACCCACAGCTCATCCCTTTTGGACCGGAGCCAGCAATGTTGGGTGAATCATAGCTTGTTTTTTTTTTTCCCCTCTCTCTCTGTCGGCCTGCAGGTCCCACAGCCCTCCTAGGCTCATGGAATCGCCTTTGGAAGCAAAGTGACCACTCACCCCTTGGCCAAGGACAAGATGATGAGCGGAGGTCAGTATCCCATTGTCGTGGGGAGGGACAACGGAGCATTGTGGGTTTAACAGATTGAGTCAGAAGGGACCTTGTGGGTCATCTAGTCCAACCCCCAGCCCAAGCAGGAGACCCTACACCATTTCTGACAGAGGGCAGTCCAGTCTCTTCTTGAAGGCCTCCAGGGATGAAGCTCCCACAACTTCTGAAGGCAATTTCTGTTCCATGGATTGATTGTTCTCAATGTCAGAAAAATCCTCCTTATTTCTAGGTTGAATCTCTCCTTGATCAGTTTCCATCCATGATTCCTTGTCGGGCCTTGGAAAATAGCTTGACCCCCTTCCTCCTCTCTGGGGCAGCCCCTCAAATATTGGAAGATGCTCTCCTGTCTCCCCTGGTCCTTCTCTTCACTAGACCAGCCATGCCCAGTTCCTGCAACCGTTCATCGTATCTTTGAGCCTTTGGTCCCCAAACGATGCTCACATTTCTTATATACCAAAATATAATCTAGATCAGGGGGGTCCCCCAATTCCTTGGCCATAATCCACTACCGGTCCTTGAACCGTTCGGAACCAGGCCGCAGAAGTGGCGGCCAAGCACCCGAATGTCCTACAAGTAGTCCTCGACTTAGGACCACCATTGAGCCCCGGAATTTATGTGGCTAAGTGAGAAGCTTGTTGAGTGAGTTTTGCCCCGTTTTACGAGTTTTCTTCCTGCGAATTCTCAAAACGGAATTCGGAAGCTGCAAATGAAAGTTAACAAGAATTCAGAAGCTGCAAATAAAATTAAAAGAATTCAGAAGCTGCAAATAAAATTAAAAGAATTCAGAAGCTGCAAATAAAATTCTAAGAATTGGAAGATGCAAATAAAATTCTACGCATTCAGAAAATGCAAATAAAATTCTAAGCATTCAGAAAATGCAAATAAAATTCTAAGCATTCAGAAAACGCAAATAAAATTCTAAGAATTAGAAGCTGCAAATAAAATTCTAAGAATTGGAAGATGCAAATAAAATTCTACGCATTCAGAAAATGCAAATAAAAATTCTAAGCATCCAGAAGCTGCCAATAAATGTTATGATCTTTCTTTGCCATCGTTGTTAAGGGAATCCCTGCAGTTGTTAAATTAGTCACGTGGCCGCTAAGCGAATCCAGTTTCCCCGTGGACTTCGCGCTCCTCGGAAAGTCGCACAAAGGGAGATCCCGTGATCCCCGGGGACACTGCAGCCGTTGTAAAGATGAATCCGTCGCTACGTTGTTGTGTCCTGGAGGTCATATGCTCCACATTTGGATGCTTGGCAGCTGACTCGTGTTTATGACGGTTGCGGCGTCCCCTTTTGCGACCATCTGATGAGCAAAGTCCACCGGGAAACCTTTCACAACCGAACAGCCATCGTGAATGTGAAGCATCCAAGCATAAATCACGTGCTGCAATGGTCATAAGTGCGAGGAACGGTCCCAAATCCCTTTTCTCAGGACCGTTGTAACTCTGAACGGTCCCTAAATGGAGAACCTTGAATCAGAAGTGGATCTGGAGCGGAGTTGAGGGTCGGAGAGCCACGTAAAGTTGTTGTTGGGGGAAGTGGGTGCCTATTTTATCACCTGGAGTTACTAAGGCTTTTCTCTTCCCCCGTTAAGATCACTACAAATACTCGGAGAATCGGGTGGAGAAAGACGGGCACATCATGACGAGCCGAGGACCGGGCACCAGTTTCGAATTCGGCCTGGCGATTGTGGAAACGCTGCTGGGGAAGGAAGTGGCCGCCCAGACGAAAGCGCCTCTCGTCCTTAAGGACTAGAAGCATGACACATCCAGAAAGCCTCGCCTGTTTCATTTTTACGACCAGGAATATTTTTTTTTCCCCCCCTTTAGTGGGCGAACCGTCGAAGGAACGGAGCAGGGTTGTCAGCGTCCCTTGTGGCAATTTCATTCATGCAATAAAAAAGAAAATACGCATTGAACGGTGGTGTTTTCTTGACCGGGAAATCATTAAAACAAAACAAAAAAAATAACTTTTTTTTAAATAAACCTTACACCCAATTCCGTTCAGAATTATAAAAAAATGATGGAAAAATTATTTTAAAAGAATTAGAATTAGACAAGAATTAGAATTAGACAAGAATTAGAATTAGAAAAGAATTAGAATTAGAAAAATCACAATTATTATCTATAAAAAAATTCAAACCTTGCGCTAGGAAAACGCAAGTTGGGCAGCGGGGAATAAAAAAAGCAGCGAGCATTGAAGGTTATAGAACAAATTAGTATTTAGTATTATTTTAGCATTTTGAGTGTCATTGAAGAAATTCCTCATCATTTAGAACTGAGTTTATTATTTAGCATCGGAGGTTATTAAGTAAATTTAGGATTCAGTATTGAGTTTAGTTCAGGATTTAGCACAAAATAAACAGATAATTTTAGGGCTCGGCATGGAGCATTATCGAACAAATTATAGGTAGGTCTCACCTTGCAACCACAGTGGAACCCAAAAATTTATGTCGCTCAGCCAAACATTTGCTAAGTGAGCTTTGCTCCTGTTTTACGACCTTTCTTGCCAGAGTTGTTAAGTGAATCTCTGCAGAATGTTAAGAACATTCCGGTTATGAATAAATGAATGGTCAAAAGGTCGCAAAAGTGACCCAGGGACCCATCATAAATGCGAGTCAGTGGCCAAGCGTCGGAATTCTGATCACACGGCCGCGGGGGATGCAACGGACGTTAAGTGTGAAAAACCATCGTAAAGGTGAGTTGCCAAGGGTCTGAATTTTGATCACGCGATGCCGCAAACAGTCGTAAGCGTGAGAAACGGTCCCGAGTCCCCTTTTTCCTCAGGGCCGTTGTAACTTTGAAACGGTCACTAAATGAACTGTTGTAAGTTCGAGGACTATCGGTATTCATGCATGGAAAAAGTCCCTCTGGTGGCAGAGGCACCTTCAAACCCACCCAAGGATGGTGGTCTTGTGGGGGGGCAACTCCACTGGGGCAGAATTTGGTCCCCCCCCTTTCCCCCCAGCTGTAATGCCCAAAGCATCCACCAGAGGGCAGAGTTGGACGGGATTGCAATCTGATGAGAACCCAGTTCTGGGTTCAAGATTCTCTGATTTATCGCTGGATTAAGAGCAAAATCCATCCCTTTTCAAACAGGATCACGTTGATTTAAATCCACTCGATTTAATTCATAATTTTTTTTTTTAAAAGAACAACTGTCACCTCTGCTGTGAAATTGTGCGGGTGCATCCATGCCGAGCCTGGATTCATTGGACGACTTTACCAAAAAATGTAAATATTGCAGAATCTTACGCTACGTAACGTAAGCTCCGTTTCATGCTGAATAAACTAAATGATTAATGTAACTTAAGAAAACTATTGATAGCTTATTCCAAAAGCATTTCATTAAAATAAATCTGATTTTTTTTAAAAAAACGATTTAAATCAGAAAAATCTGATGCAAATTTTTAAAAATCCTATTTTTATATTTTTTTTTAAAAAAAAATCATCAAATTTTTATCCAACCTGTTTTCAAACCTCCGTTCCGAAACTGTGTTTGTGTGTGTGTTGGAAAGACCAAAATTGTCCTTTTAGCAAACATGACGTAATAGCCCCAGTGTTATTTTAAACATTTAAAATTTTCTGACGTTCTGACGAGCCAAGTCAAGAGGGGAAGTCCGATTCGCTTAACAACCGTGGCATTAAAAGCTGCACAGTGAGCTGTGCCTCGCTCAGCAACACAAAAACTGTGGTCGTTGTAACCCGAGGAGTTAAAAAGTCCCAAAACTCGCAGCTAGCTGCCTTCTTAAGGAGCTTCAAAACCCAGCCTACAACTTCTTCTGCAGCCGCAGCGTGGCAGACTGCCCAATGTTGATAGTAAGCACATCGTACGACGGGATTGACCAATGTTGGGAGTGCGTAGGAACACACACCCTAAAAAACACACACCGAGTGGCAATTCTGTGTGGCAACTCCATTCGGGCTCGCCGTCTTAAAAAGAGCAGATCGAAGGAGAACAGGGAAGCCTGGAGAACCCAATAAATATAGGAGCTGCACCTTTACCATAAATAAGTATGTCATAACTTTATTAAATCCAAGACGTGACAATATATATATATCTCCAAAATACAACTGAACACAAATCCCCTCGACAACTGTACACCCCAGACCGAAGTTTTTCAGTGCATTGTTTCTGTGATTTAACCTTCATTTTCGTTTGGATTAGAACGGTCAGCTTTCCTAAAATGTCAGGAAAGAAGAAGAAAAAAAAAAGAGAGACACAGAAAATGTTCCCCATTTTAGCGGATCGGGAAGTGTAAACAATGAGGGTTTGTGTTAATCCCCCCACTCGAAAAAAACCACCAGGACGGACCTTGATCGGAGCGTACGTTTTGGCCTCCTGCTAATTTATCCAGTGGGCATGTTGAATGTGGAATGAAACCTTTCGTGGATCAGAAATTATTCAAAAGTGGGACCGAGCAGGCTCCGTTCCCAAGATTCGTGACCCCACAATCAAGAACGGCTCTATATCGAAACAATTGGTCCCCCTTTTCAAACAAATATTGTGGCCGAGTCGGAATGCATCTTTTGAGTTGTTGTGCAGTCACACAAAGCCCTCAGCAGCTGCAGAAACGCAGAGCTGTTGAGGGTTGACCCCCCCAACCCCCCCCCCCCCCCCGGGGCGGGCCCCGTTTTTGGAACTGGGCCGTACCAGCGGCGAGCGACTCTACACACGTCCGTAGCTTTACTTGCGCGTGAGTGGCGGGCTCTCACGCACTTGCGTGAACCGTGGGTGCTCCGCTCGAGCACGAAGGTCCTTTTGTGCAAGCCCAAATGGAGACACGAAACCAGAAGTGGGTTTCACTTACCTTTGCTACCGGTTTGGAACTGTGAGCGCGTGTGTGTGCGTGTTTGCTTCGTGCAGAGCGTCCGTGATGACGTCCGGGCAAGTGGGTGGAGCCTCCCACCGCTGCTACCGGTTGAAATCCACCACTGCACAAAACCATCTCCTCTCCCTGTCCTCCTCCCCCCCTGGGGGCCGGACCACCAAGCTAGAAAGTTTGGGGACCGCTGATCTAAAGAAATCAAATAAATCTTTCTTGGACCTCAAAAATGTAGATGGCTGCGCAGCCCACGGAACAAGACCAAAGAAGGGACAAGCCAAGGGACAGGGAAGTGGGTGGGCGGCCCAACTCTGTCCATGGCCGTGTTTTCCCCCGCCCATCCCCAAAAGGAACAGAGAAGACAGAACATCCCGGGACAGAAATAATTTAAAAATCTATCTACCCCCCAAAGTGGAAAAACGTCTATTAACACCCACAAAAAAAAATACTGAACTTCTGGGCTTTCAGTTAAAGCCACCAGTCACCTCAGCAGGACTACAATTTGGTCGTTCTAACTTAGGTGAGTTACTACATATATATTATTCTAGAACGGGGATCCCCAACCCCGGGGGCCGCAGCCCGCTACCAAGCAGTGGCCCGTTCAGGAACCGGGACGTGGAAGCAGGCAGGACAGCAGGCACGCACGATGCCATTTGTGCGAGTGGGAGACGTGCGTGCCCACCAGTCGCACAAAGGGAGCTGCATGCATTCGCGTGGAACCATCCCACTTCCACCCCTCACCGGTTCGTAAAGCCGTAAAGGTCGGAGACCGCAGCTCTCGAATATTCAATAACTGGCCAATCTCAGTTGTGTAGGACTTGTCGTCCTTCCAAGTCTCCTCCTCCTGGGTGTCGGCAGTTGAGCCGTAGCTACCATTGCCGTCCGTCCAGGAGGCTCCAGCACTGACGTCTCCACCTCCCCTTTTATGTCCAGTCTCTACACAGGGTCCTTGGAGAAGTTGTCGCTGTTCTCGGATTCAAAAACTTTTCAACGTTCACCGCTGTCCTGTCACCACTGGCCCCCTAGGGAGAAACCATACACGCCAAATGTTTGCGTTTGACTAGTCCTCCCAAGTCAGCCTTGACCAGAGTGGCAGCTTCGGGGCCCGCCTGCCGCCGTCCCTCCTCCGGCCTCAAGCTGCCCTCTTCTGCTTCCCGGAAGAACATCTCATATTTGTCCAAATAAGGGGGTCTCTCGGGCAAGAGGTAGTAGTGAGTGGAGCTGACTTTTTTGCCGTTTTCGATGATGGGGAGAATACAGGGCACCTTGTGGGATGAACCTTCGCTGTTCTGCCTCTGGAGAGCTTTGCTACTGACGTACTTCGGATCCGGGGCAAAACTCTGCGTCGGAGGCATGACCCCGTGGAGATACGCCGGCAACGTTTTGGGACTCGGCGTCCGAGAATGGCTCCAGGGCAGAGGTTCCCGCGGAGGGACTTTGGGCGGTTTGTCCTCGTCGCTATACGCGCTGGAGGTCACTTCGGCCGACCACCTCCGATAATCAGGTTTGAGGGGCCGGGGAGGCAGAGGTACCCTGGGGGGAACCTCGGGTTTGTCGTCATCGGAGCTGGGAGACGAACGACAGAGGTGGCTAGAGACCCTGACTGACGGTTTGTTGAAGGACCCAGCAGGGCCTGAATGAGAACGGCGGAGCCGGCGGTGAGGTTGTTGTTGTGGCGGTGGAGGGGGCGGACAGGTGCTCTCTGGACAGCTGGGCTGTTGCGGCTTCACCTCTGCCGGAGCGTCGAAGTAGGCGTAGTTAATCTGGCCGCAGCCCCTGAAACTGCGCCTACCCTGAGCTGAAAGCTTAAAACTGGGACTCGCGCAGTTCTCCAGCAAGAAGTCGGTATCCGAACTGGTCAGGAACTCCACTTCTCGATCCACTTCGTCGTGCAGGAAGTTTTCGGCGATGGGCAGAGGTGGCAGTGGACGGGCGCTTCGCTCCACCGAAGACAGGGGAAGGGAGAGGAGGGGCCCGCTCTTCCCCGGGATTTGAGAAGGCGTTTCGTCAGAGTTCCGGTTCATGGTCAGAGAAAGTCCACCGAAGCTGGAAACGAGGCGGTCTTCGGAGGCGGAAGGAGCAGGAGGGCGAAGGAGAGAAGGGCTGGCTCTCAAGAGGAAGCTCGTACCGCCATCTGGATCGGGACAGGAGACATGGCCTAGAAGGAAAGGTATCTTGGGATAAATAAGGTAAAGGTAAAAGTTCCCCTTGAACATGTGTGCTAGTCGTTCCCGAATCTAGGGGGCGGTGCTCATCTCCGTTTCAAAGCCGAAGAGCCAGCGCTGTCCGAAGACGTCTCCATGGTCATGTGGCCGGCATGACTCAACGCCAAAGGCACACGGAACGCTGTTCCCTTCCCACCAAAGTTGGTCCCTATTTTTCTACTGGCATTTTTTTACCTGCTTTCGAACTGCTAGGTTGGCAGAAGCTGGGACAAGGAACGGGAGCTCACCCCGTTACGCGGCACTCGGGATTCGAACCGCTGAACTGCCGACCTTTCGATCGATAAGCTCAGTGTCTTAGCCACTGAGCCACCGCCTCCCTTTTAGGAGGGATAAATAATAGATAGATTTTGGATAATTGGAAACGCTAAGGCCCACAGGGGAAACGCTGCCTTTTATGTAGAGTTCCCCATTTTTTTCGGCTTTGCGGACTGGCTGGTTGGGGGAGGGGGGGAGGGCAGGGGTATGTTCCCCATGAGCGGTGGGCTTGCGTGGAACCATCCCCTCTGCCCCCTCCCCCCAATCCCCGGTCTGCAAAGCTGGAAAATTTGGGAGACCCCCTGCGCGAGAGGACAAGCTAAGACAAGAGGAACGCAAGGCCTTCCGGGCGGCGGAGACCCCGAAAGCCTTCAGGTGGGATAAAATAAGAAACGGGACAATTTTTCGGGGTACCTACCAACGGAGGTCAGGGGATGCGGTCCTGGGTTTAGGTTGCAAGCCATTGCTACGGAGTCCACGTGGAAGAAAGGGCTGGGTTGTAAGAGAAAAGAGGGGGGGAAAACACACAACCGTAAATGAAACGGGAAGCACGACGGCGTGTCTAAGAGTCCGATGCGCTGCGTCGTCCATCTGTCCCGCTCTCCTCCCGCCCCCCCTCTTTGTCCAGCACTCACTTTGCAAGCTGGCTGTTGTGGCGACGGCAACAGGCCTCCAGGCTTCCATTACGGAGAAAGCCGGGGTTCAAGGAGAGGTTGACCTCCTGGGCCGCAATGCCTGTAGTGGACATGGCCTGTGGTGGACAATGCTTGGCCTTCTCATCGGGCTTTCAGAAGGAGTCCATGGTCTTCAGAAGCTCCCTGGGCTCCCTGGGGAAGGAAGAAGAGGGAAGCGTAAGAATGACCCCAAGGTCAAAGGAGAAGGGGGGGTGAACCTAGATGCTGCGACGGTCCTAAGGGTGAAAAACGGTCCCAAGTCCGTTGTAACTTCGAAAGGTCACTAAAGGAACTGCTGTTAAGTCCGTTTAGTCGACCGGAATATTTCAGACTTCTCCATAAAGGAAGTTTGGATTTCCTTAACACCGATTCCCTTTGTGGAGGCCAAGAAAAGCAACACTTGGAAAAGAGAATGCAACACAGGGGGGGAAAGGAGACCACCCAGTGTTTTAATGAGGATTATGCAAGTAAGCAATAATGATATTAGTATAATGGCTGTAATTCTCCTTATGTTTTGTGCTCTTTCCTTTTCTTTCTTTCTTTCTTTCTTTCTTTTTTTCTTTCTTTTCCCTTATGACTGCTTTCCTTTCTCTTTCTCTCCCTGACTTTTTTCATTCTTTCTTTCCTTCTCTTTCTCCTTTTTTTTCTTTCCTTTCCCACTTATGACTGCTTTTCTTTCTTTCTCTTTCTCTCCCTGACTTTTTTCCTTCTTTCTCTCTCTCTCTTTCGTTCGCTTTCCTCTCTTTCCTTTTCTTTTTCTTTTTCTTTCTTTCCTTTCCCTCTTTCTTTTTCTTTCTCTCTCCTTTTTTCCTTTTCTTTCCTTCTCTCTTTCCTCTCTTTCCTTTCCTTTTTCTTTCTTTCCTTTCCCACTTATGACTGCTTTTCTTTCTTTCTCTTTCTCTCCCTCTGACTTTTTTCCTTCCTTCTCTCTCTCTCCTTCTCTCTTTCCTTTCCTTTTTCTTTCTTTCCTTTCCCTCTTTTCCTTTCTCTTTCCCTTTTATCCTTTTCTTTCCTTCTCTTTCCTTCTCTCTTTCCTTGTCTTTCCTTTCCTTTCTTTCTCTTTCCTTTTTGTTCTTTCTTTTCCTTTCTCTTTCTTTTTCTTTCTTTCCTTTCCCTCTTTCTTTTTCTTTCTCTCTCCCTTTTTTTCCTTTTCTTTCCTTCTTTCTGCTCTTTCCTTTTTTCTTTCTTCCTTTCCCAGTTATGACTGCTTTTCTTTCTTTCTCTTTCTCTCTCTCTCTTTCCTTCTCTCTTTCCTCTTTCCTTTCCTTTTTCTTTCTTTCTTCCCTTTTTCCCTTTTCTTTCCTTCTTTCCTTCTCTCTTTCTTCTCTTTCCTTTTTTTTTCTTTCCTTTCCAGTTATGACTGCTTTTCTTTCTTTCTCTTTCTCTCTCCGACTTTTTTTCCTTCTCTCTCTCTCTTTCCTTCTCTCTTTCCTCTCTTTCCTTTCCTTTTTCTTTCTTTCTTCCCTTTTTCCCTTTTCTTTCCTTCTCTTTCCTTCTCTCTCTCTTTCCTTGTCTTTCCTTTCCTTTCTTTCTCCTTTCCTTTTTGTTCTTTCTTTTCCTTTCTCTTTCTTTTTCTTTCTTCCTCTCTCTCTTTCTACCCTTTTTCCTTTCCTGTCCCGAAACACAAAAGGCCTCTGGTGCCCCACCCTCCTATCTACTCCCCTCCCGGCCTCAGTTTCTCAAAAGGCAACCTAGATTCCCCTCCTGGCGTGTGGGAGAAAGCTGGGCCACGAAAGGAAATTGTCTGCAGCGCCCTTCCTGTCTCCAGAAACACCCCTTGCGCACTAATAACAACTTGCAAGGTGTGTTATTAGTGAAAGGAAGTCGTCCCATAATGAAGGGATGGAGGAGAATATTCTGGAAAGGGAGGGGAGGGATGCCCAGGTCAGAGCTGAATCACCCAGCCCCGGGGGGGGGGGGGGGGGGGAGAGGGGGGAGGAGGGGCCCCCCGGGCCCCCCCCCCCCGGGCATCAGCCTCGATGGGTCCACGGGAAGGGCAGGGAGGGAACAGCCGGACGAGAAGGAGAGGAGCAACCTAGAACTAAGGAGCAATTTCCTGGCAGTGAGAATAACCCGCGGAACGACTTGCCACCAGAAGTTGTGGTTGCTCCATCACTGGAGGCTTTTTAAGACGAGATCGGACAACCTTCTGTCTGAAATAGTACTACAGGGTTTCCTGCTTGAGCTTGGGGCTGGACTAGAAGACCTCTAACTATAGAGTTTCCTGCTCGAGCTTGGGGCTGGACTAGAAGACCTCTTAAGGCCCCTTCCAACTCTATTCTGAACTGGCAAATACTCCGCCGTCTTACTGAGCCCTACTTAAGACCCCTTGCACCAGTCGAAAAAGGGACCCCGAAATTCCTTTCGCTTCTACGGCTGCTAGCACGCAACACAACAACACAAGACAACACAACACAACGACGAAGTGGCCAATTTTGTTCCCCCCAAAAACCGCCTCCCCCAAACTGCTCTCATTTGCAAACCCATTCTCTCCCTGCCTGAGCCTGTCATACTACAAGCAATTATCTGGGGGGGGGGAGGAAGAGGAGGGAGGGAGAGGTCATGAGGGTGACCCCCCACCCCCCCACAACCATTCAAAAAGCCAGGATTCTCTCTGTGCCAAGACCCCCTCTCGGGGTTGTGCCAAGGAGCCCGGAAACGACAGAAAGGTGAGGAGGGGGGGGGGTCTACAGAGAAAGAGAGGTGGGGTGGGGGGCTCAGAGTTCATCAGAAAGGTGAGGAGGGGGGGTCTACCCTGCACAAAGAGAGAGACAGAGAGGTGGGTGGGGGGCTCAGAGTTCCTTTAAGCTGGGCTTCCCAAAAAAACAAAAAACCACATTCTCCCAGCCTTTGCTCTCTCTCTAGTTTTTTTGCCTACTCAGCCGCCAACTATCAGGAGTAAATCTCCAGAGGCGGGAGGGGCACACAACCGGCTGCTCATCCCGGTTTAACAACTACCTGACATCACTTCCTCCGCCTTTCCAACGCCTGCGAGAGGAGGAAGAGGAGGAGGAGGAGGAGGAGGGGTGGGTGGGAAGAAGGCACCCCATCGGAAGCCACTCCCGAGTTAATACAGGTTTCCACCACAGCCTGGAGGGGAAAAACTCAGCACAAGCAAAAAGAGGGCAGGAGGGCAAAGCGGGCACGGCGGGCAGCCTTCCTTCCTTACAACAACCGGAATATAATTATAATAATAATAATAATAATAATTATTATTATTATTAGCCATTTGGGGATGCCAGGAGAGCCGGATCTCCGCCGAGCATTTCTTAAAAAGCCGGCAATTTTTATTATTTTTGTGGATTTTATTTTAAACCAGCCTTGCTTTTTTTAAATTCAGGCTCGCTCGCCTGCCCGCCTTCTGCCAGCCGAGCCGGCTCTGGGCCTAGAGAGAAAAGGGCAGGGCGAGAAGGCACGGCTGGCGCCTCCGAAACAGCCCATCCCGGAGGGGCCGCCACTGCCGCCCACCAACCAACCTCCCCCGCGGGAAAACTTTGAAGGAGATGCTGGTTGGAAGACGGCACGAGCTGATCTGGGAGATTTTGTTTTTTCTCGCGGGAAGGTTATTCTTCCCCCCCCCCCAAAAAAAATCCAGAATTTGGAGACGGGACAATATTACCTCCTCGTCTTCCTCTTTGCAAACCCCTCTCCCTTCTAACACTGATGATGTTACCTAGTTGGGTCATTAGACGTCTGCAAGGAAACCCCCAAGCTCAGAGAGCACCAAGGACCCCATAGTCTTCCTCCTCCTCTTCCTCTTCCCCTCTGCCTCCTCCTCCTCCTCCTCTTTGCAAATCCTACTCCCTTCTAACACTGATGATGTTACATAGTTGGGTCATTAGACGTCTGCAAGGAAACCCCCAAGCTCAGAGAGCACCAAGGACCCCATAGTCTTCCTCCTCCTCCTCTTCTCCTCCTCTTCCTCTTCCCCTCTGCCTCCTCCTCCTCCTCTTCTGCAAAGCCTACTCCCTTCTAACACTGATGATGTTACATAGTTGGGTCATTAGACGTCTACAAGGAAACCCCCAAGCTCAGAGACCACCGAGGCCCCCCCAATAATTGACGCCGCTTTTTTTTTTTATTTTTTAAAATCAAACATTGATCATTCGGCGTTATTTTTCATTTAAGAGCGAAAGGAAAATTCTCGCGCCTTCCGCTCTTCGAAGGAACCGGATGTGACCCCGAATGCGATTCAGACAAAATGTTTAAATCCATACTGACTTCTGGGCAATTCAGCCCCGCTTCTAGAGAAAAATCGGAGCGTCCTTTTTTTTTTTTTTAAGGAACCTACAGTGAAACCCCAAGAGGTAGTCCTCCACTTACGACGGTTCGTTTAGTGACCGCTCGAACGTTACAACGGACCTGGGGAAAAAAAGGGGGGGGCTTTTGACCGGGTTTTTTTCCCCCATATTTACAACCGTTGCAGCCGTCCCCAATTCAAGACGATTGGCCACTGACTCGTATTTACGACGGTTGTTGGGTCCCAAGGTCACACGACCCGCTATTACGACCTTCTGACCAGCAAAAGTCAAGGTGGGAAGCCAGATTCACTTAACAACCATGTTCCTCCTTTAACAACTGTAGCAAGATCGGTCGTAAAACGGGGCAAAGCCCACTTAAATGTCTCGCTTAACAGCAGAAATTTGGGGGGGGGTTCAATTGCGGTTGTAAGTTCGAGGCAAGCCACGTTATATATTTATTATATATTTATCCTGCACTTTTTATTCATTCATTTATTTTTTTTTTACAACTGAAGGCAAGGGTGCCTCGTCTTCCATCTATTTTTCCACACAACCACCCTGCGAGGTAGGGCTTGACCGAAAGAACAACTGGCAACTCAAACATCTGGCTTTTCCCAAACTCTTCATTCAAAAAAAAAAAAAAAAAGAGAAAAATTTTTCAAAAGTTGCCACCCAAAAAACCAACAACCCCAAAACAAACCCTTTTAGACTTTTTTAAAAAATTGTTAAATTAAATTAAATTTAAATTAAATTTAAACATTTTAAATTTAAAAATGTATTATTATTTTTTTTAAAAAAATCCATTTTCATACCCGAGTTCATTGTAAGATGAATTGTAAAATGCTAAAAATATGTGGGGTTGTTTGGAGTTTTTTTTCTTTTTTGGGTTGGTTTTCGGCCGTCCACGGGATA